CACAATAGTAATGTTTAACCAGTGACAGTAAACACAATAGTAATGTTTAACCAGTGACAGTAAACACAATAGTAATGTTTAACCAGTGACAGTAAATACAATAGTAATGTTTAACCAGTGACAGTAAATACAATAGTAATGTTTAACCAGTGACAGTAAACACAATAGCAATGTCTAACCAGTGACAGTAAAGACAATGGTAATGTTTAACCAGTGACAGTAAAAACAATGCTAGTTTCTATTCGGTGACGACAATGTGTAGCCAGTAGAGACAGTCCTATGTTTAGCTAGTAACGACAGGATCCAAAACGTACCGTGTGAGGATATCTAACAACATCTGTTCAGTACATACAAAAGCTAATGTTTAGCTATTATGGATAGTGTTTAGCTAATGGAGACAGAAGGCTATTTGACCTCTATAAAACTCGTGAAAAACGTATGTTCGGACTTCCTGTAGGGCTTCCCGAGATGCCTGTAAACTGCACCGTGAAAAATGTCACTATGAACAGCGTGGAGGTTGGCTGTTTCGAAGGTTACAGTGGAGGTTTAAGTCAACACTTTGTGTTGGAAATACGGGAGGAAAACATAGAGAAAAAATACAGAAACTTTACAGCCAAGAAACCAGAGTTTTCAGTTGAAGGGCTTTCGAACAGTAGAACGTTTCAGGTTTTTGTTTATGCAGTAAACGCAAAAGGAAAAAGTCAAGAATGGAAAAAATATGTCAGAACTCTTTCTCCATTAGGAGAAAAGAAAGGTGAGTGTTGAGTGATTTCCAAGTGTTTCTTGTTGTAAAATAAATTAGTAAAGTGAAACAAATTGATATTTATAAAGTAAACGAGACACTTTGTCTGTTATAATAGGATAAGGCAGCGTATAACCTAACAAGTTTTGTTCATATAGATTTGAATTGATAAATATAAATTAAAAGATCAATTTTTATTGTTCTTTTCTATGTAACGTTGTCACAGTTTTGTCTTTCATAGATAAAATCATCTTACAATAACCTAATTTGCCATGTTTTAGTGTGGTATTTTTTTAGGTGTTCATTTGCTAAACATTTTAATTATTTTTTGTTCAGCTCAAATCGAATCTTGTCTCAAAATCTTTTTTTTTTCTCACGCAATCCCAATATTTGAGAAGGCCTTTTCCCGCCATATCGTATAATTAAGCGGTAATGCTATAGCAAGGATGTGTTTTACAGATCATTTGTGGAGAAAGATTTAGTCGCAAACACTTCAATTAGCGTTAGTGATATCCGTTGCTTCTCAGTGATCTGTGTGATGTGTTACTACAGAAATATCGTATCAAGATTACTCGAGTAATAATTACTCACACTCTATAAGTCTTCTTGGTTTATTGGCCATATCTTTCGGAACATTAATCATACTTGTCCTGTGTTGTAGGTAGCATCTTAAGACAAGGAGATTAACAGTATAACTTTTAAAGCTCTTTTGAAGTTACTCTATATAAATGCATTACTTCTATCCCTTCTCGCAAGGAAAGCTTTTATAATCTTCTAGTGTTTCATTGAACCATCGCTTAATGAGCTGACATCAGAAGCTCTTCAATGTCAACACAATAAGCGCATTAGTTAAGACTTCTTTCGAATCGAATGATTATGTAGGACAAATGTGTGTTAATAATAAACACTAACAACTCTTATTAAGGTTCCGGCTGAAGATTTTACTGTAAATAACTTTTAGATGGAAGATGTTATCGAGCTTTCTTCGTACGGAAAACATGATGAAACACTGGGTTGTAGATAGATGACAGATAGAAAATATGTTAAATTAAAAATATAAGTTTACTACAGTCAAACACTGGGTTGTAGATAGATACCAGGTAGAATATTTGTCAAATTAAAGATACAAGTATACTACAATCAAACACTGGGTTGTAGTTAGATACCAGGTAGAATATTCGTCAAATTAAAGATACAAGTATACTACAATCAAACACTGGGTTGTAGATAGATACCAGGTAGAATATTTGTAAACTTATATCTTTAATTTGACAAATATTCTACCTGGTATCTATCTACAACCCAGTGTTTGATTGTAGTATACTTGTATCTTTAATTTGACTACAATCAAACACTGGGTTGTAGTTAGATGCCAGGTAGAATATTTGTCAAATTAAAGATATAAGTTTACTACAATCAAACACTGAGTTGTAGATAGATACCAGGTAGAATATTTGTCAAATTAAAGATATAAGTTTACTACAATCAAACACTGGGTTGTAGATAGATGCCAGATAGAATATTTGTCAAATTAAAGATATAAGTTTACTACAATCAAACACTGGGTTGTAGATAGATACCAGGTAGAATATTTGTCAAATTAAAGATACAAGTATACTACAATCAAACACTGGGTTGTAGATAGATACCAGATAGAATATTTGTCAAATTAAAGATATAAGTTTTCTACAATCAAACACTGGGTTGTAGATAGATACCAGATAGAATATTTGTCAAATTAAAGATATAAGTTTTCTACAATCAAACACTGGGTTGTAGATAGATGCCAGATAGAAAATATGTCAAATTAAAGATACAAGTATACTACAATCCAACACTGAGTTGTAGATGGATGCCAGGTAGAATATTTGTCAAATTAAATATATAAATTTACTACAATCAAACACTGGGTTGTAGATAGATGCCAGATAGAATATTCGTCAAATTAAAGATATAAGTTTACTTCAATCAAACACTGGGTTGTGGATAGATACCAGGTAGAATATTTGTCAAATTAAAGATACAAGTATACTACAATCAAACACAGGGTTGTAGATAGATACCAGGTAGAATATTTGTCAAATTAAAGATACAAGTATACTACAATCAAACACTGGGTTGTAGATAGATGCCAGACAGAATATTTGTCAAGTTAAAGATACAAGTTTACTACAGTCAAACACTGGGTTGTAGATAGATACCAGGTAGAATATTTGTCAAGTTAAAGATATAAGTTTACTACAGTCAAACACTGGGTTGTAGATAGATGCCAGGTAGAATATTTGTCAAATTAAAGATATAAGTTAACTACAATCAAACACTGGGTTGTAGTTAGATACCAGGTAGAATATTTGTCAAATTAAAGATATAAGTTAACTACAATCAAACACTGGGTTGTAGATAGATACCAGGTAGAATATTTGTCAAATTAAAGATACAAGTATACTACAATCAAACACTGGGTTGTAGATAGATACCAGGTAGAATATTTGTCAAATTAAAGATATAAGTTTACTACAATCAAACACTGAGTTGTAGATAGATACCAGGTAGAATATTTGTCAAATTAAAGATACAAGTATACTACAATCAAACACTGGGTTGTAGTTAGATACCAGGTAGAATATTTGTCAAGTTAAAGATATAAGTATACTACAATCAAACACTGGGTTGTAGATAGATGCCAGGTAGAATATTTGTCAAATTAAAGATATAAGTACTACAATCAAACACTGGGTTGTAGATAGATGCCAGGTAGAATATTTGTCAAATTAAAGATATAAGTACTACAATCAA